TATATATATATATATATATATGAGGAGGGATCAAACGACACCGGTGTAACTTTTACTAAGTGTAACACCGCTTAATAACTTTATAGTAAACGTGAATTTTGAAAATCCAACCGTTAGATTGAAAGTTCATATCTCTTAGATCATATATGTCAAAATTTATATTAATCTAAAATGATTTGATACTTCATTCTCATAAAACAAAATTGACGTAATATATACATTTCAAAATATACTAAAATATGAACATTTTGATTACCTTCAAGTTGTTGTTCGATTTTAACAAAATTTGACATATATGATTTAAGAGATATGAACTTTCAATCTAACGGTTGAATTTTTAAAATTCACATTTAATATAAAGTTATTGAGCGGTGTAACACTTAGTAAAAGTTACACCGGTGTCGTTTGAACCCTACTATATATATATATATATAAAAGTAAGTGTAAGAGGAATAAACCTTAATTATATAAGAAAAATAAAGTAATATTAAAGTTTTAAATATATTCATTCCTTAAATAAGAGTTATAATGTAATATGCACATAATTTTTAATATTTTTTTTTCTTCTTAAAATGTTTTTATATTCTCTACTGTCCCTCTTTCTAAAATGGACTTTTTTCTGCCTAAAAGATCCTTAACCTATATCTCCTTTTCCTTGACCTTCCTCAACTTCCTTTTCACTCCTGCACCCTCCACTTCCTTAATTGCATGTTGGCGAGGAGGACATGTGCAAGGGTGGGACTGTGGGTGGTGATGTTGTAGTTAAGGAAGTGAAAGATGTTGAGGAAAGCAAGGAGAGAAAAAAATGAGTGAAATAGTTGGAGAAGAGCATAGCATTTTAGGAGAAAAAAATTTATTAAAAATTATATACATGTCAATGTCACACGTGTTATCAAAATGGATGTTGTTTGAAATTAAGAGAGTTGTTGTAATATCTATTCAATATTTAAGAAATCTTATTATAGATTTAAATTATAAAAGAGTATTAAGTACAATCTTAAAAAATTACATGAAGTGTAAGTATAATTTACTTTAGAATAAAAGTATTCAAATATAAATTAAGTTATACTAAATTTACTTTAAACTAGCTAAAATTAAGTTTACAAAATTAAATTTAATCTAACTTAACTTTATCTGCTATAATTCAAACACATACTTAATGTGCACTATGTTATATTATCATCCTGAAAATCAACCGTTAGGTGGAGTGCTTCACCAGTTTTCTAGCCTATGAAATAACATTTATTATGTGAATTTGCATATATTTGAAATACTTATTATTTAAAACTACGCTTGACTATAAAAATAAAAATAAAAATTGAAACCCTTGTGTAATTTATGACTGATGAGCAGAAAATGGCGACAAGAGGCAAGAGCTGAGAAAGAACTATTAAACTCAATTATTGGAATGAATGTAAAGAATTAAGAGACAAGAGGCAAGAACAGAGGAGGATATTTTAGGCAGATATTTGTGGTGAATTAAAGGCTGGGCTGATATAAAGGATAATGCTTGCAACTTTGGGATGAAAGTTGCGTTCTCGTCCACAAAAAGGGTATCTATAAATCAGGATTTAATTGGCAGAGAGAAGAATATCATAAGTAGATCATTACACACAAACAGCTCAGAAACTAGTGTTTTCAAACCCTTTTTCAAATGTCATGTTGAAGGAAGCTAGTGTGCCTTCTTTTTATTGCAATCAAAAAGAAAGATACGAAAAGGAGAAAGTGAGAAAAATATAATCTGAAAGCTTCAAATGACAATTTCAGATACATATTAGGGGATTGTTAAAGTTGGAAGACATTGGAATGATAGTTACATGTCATTAGGGGAAAACATCTATAATTTTTTTAAAAAATAATAAAGAAAAAGAGATAATGAAGGTTAAATAATAATAAGCGATTAATTAGCTAGTACTTTGAGTGTAATTTATGAGAGATTGTTAGTGATTTTCGCAAACATATCAAATTGCACAATTAGTAAACTTGATAAGATTAAATACTGTTTTTTTTAAAGAAATTTATGCAATATTTAATTAAATTTAATTCTATATTATCCAGGTTATAAAAGGATTGTTTGATTTGTTGTGAAATTTTGAAGTAATAACTTCAGTTTAAAGGAAAACAATAAATTGATGTTTTTAAGATTTCCTAATTGATTAAAATGTAGAAAATCTAAGTTTGAATTAATAAAATAATGATCAATTCAGAATACTAAATTAGGTATAATTTATTTATTAATTGGGCCCATAAAACAAATAATAATGAGGTTACATCATAAAAACACTTGAGTGTATAAATAATGTTGCTTACTTATAAGTCGAGCTTAGCTTGCTTAAGTTAGTTTCAAATTTCGCTTAAACAAGAATATGTGAAATACAAACTTTTAAAAATCTCATTATTTAAATATGATAAATCGTCACTTATATGAGACTTGATGATATATATATATATATTATATATATATATATATATATATATATTTTAAGTTTAGATGTACTTTAACATTTAAACAAAACTTGTTGCTCAAAAGTTCTCTTTGATTTTTGTACCGTCTCGGCCTATTTCTGATACGATTCATAGGAGCGGTTGTTTAAGCCCTTTCGCCTTTTAGACTCAGGGCTGGAAGGCAAGTGTACCGTCTCGGCCTATTTCCGATATGGGTGTGGGAAAAAGGACCGAGACCCACGTCACCCTGCCACGAGGGGTCACTCGGTAAAGGACCGATCCTATTTTGTAATACGGGTGAGCCCGATTAGAATATAACCCGACCACCCTTACAGGAGTTGTCTTGATGAAAAGACCGACCTTATCCAACCAAGTGAGTTATCCCGGCCTGGGTTTGGTCGGCCAGGGTGTGCTCGACCATGGTGAGATTGGCCAAGATGTGCTCGGTTGATGTGAGATTGGTCAGGCTGTGCTCGACCATGGTGAGATCGGCCAGGCTGTGCTCGACCATGGTGAGATCGGCCAGGGTGTGCTCGGCCATGATGAGGTCGACCAGGCTGCACTCGGCCATGGTGAGATCAGCCAGGCTGCACTCGGCCATGGTGAGATCGGTCAGGTTGTGCTCGGTCATGGTGAGATCGGCTAGGATGTGCTCGGCTGATGTGAGGCTGCACTCGGCCATGGTGAGATCGGCCAAGGTGCGCTCGTCCAAAGTTCGAGTGGGTCTCACCCTTTGGACTAGTCCGAGAATCAAGGATGAAAAGCCTATCTTTGATAATCAAATATTCCCAAGGAAAACCGTTATGGAAATCCTTGCACTCACAAGGCCCAAGTGGCCCATGAATAGAAAAGTATAAAACTAAAACCCTAGAGTTAAGACGATAGATTACACTTTTGAATGTTCGGGCTTTGAAGCTTGACCTAGGAAGAAACCCTAGTCCACCCTTTGGCCGGAACAATTTTGCCTAAACAAATAAATTGGTTCACTTAAACAAGAGTGAATATTCAAAACTTTGGTTCTTTCTAAATCTTTTTTTTCTATAAACTTATCTGAAAACTAAGAAAAATTAAATGAAAAAAATTTATCTCAGCAAGAAATATTTATTGTAAATTCATGGAAATTGGTTTCAGGAAATTTCAAAAGTATACTAAATTTAGAATAATTATCATAATATATTTATAAAAGTAAATCATATACAATAATTATAAAAAAAAAATGAGAGCAAGAGAGAACAAAAACAAGAAAAGATAAAAAAAACATAAATAAAATAAATAAATAAATAAGATACTAGGAAATAAATTGTAGTGTAGATAGGTAGTTATTAAAATAAAATAAAAAAATGATACCAAAATATGTACACCAAAAGCTCACCATATAGAAGAGTGAAATATGGGTTTATATGAAAATGTTTGAGTGGGCAAGGGATGAAAAAGAACTTATCAAATATACTTACTTAGATAGTAATTTTAATATTTACATTTTTACTTGTTGATTATGTAAATCTTATGTCATACACATTAGTAGGCCTAATTACAAATTGGGCTTTAATTTAAAGCGATTAAATTTAGTGCGTGTTTAGTTTTGATTTTTAAACACAAGTTTTTCTTCTCTTTCCACGTCTAATTGTGAATTTAAAGAGAAGTTATTATTCTTTACTTTTAGTTAAATATGAAAAATTACGTCTTCACACTAATACGAATACACGCTTAATGAGATCGGAGTTTTTTGGTGGTAGACACCCCAAACAATCTTATCAAGCATGGTCACTTTGAAGAAGGAAAAACTTTGTTGAGAAAGAAATGTGACATTCACAACGTTGAACTTGAGTTCATGGAACTTGTTGAGGTGAGTCGTGTAGATACAAAGGAAAATGTAATACTTTGTGTATTGGCAACTGAGTCTGTAATTTTGCCTTGAAACTGGGCAAGAACTTAAAACCTCTTAAGCAATGAGCATGTATAAAGGGTGTTTTGTTTTGGAGCCATCGTCCCACTTTAGCAAAATCGTACTTCACTCATAAATTATTGCACATACTCTGCTCATGCTAAAAGTGGAGAAAATCCAAGGCTTTTCTTATCGCATTCCAAAGGTGAAATATGCATGAGATGGTTGAAAAAAGCTTTTTCTTTTTATGATCTCTGTAGGCACATTTCAGACACCACTTGTTATCGGAAAATGAAATAAAGCTACAGAGACGCCAAAACTAGGGGGATCCAAATTGCCACCCCTGTGCCCATATTAGATTCCATTTCATGTTTTACGAATAGAAGAGTTGTGAGTGCTAGTCATGATTCTTTCACCAAATTGGATCTTTTGGCCTTTCAGATAAAAACCCACATGACTAGTATAGTACTACAAAGAAAAACAAATCCTCTTTTGGCCCAAGATATGAACATGACTTATGTTATATCCATTCCTCTCGCTGCTCGTTTTCTTTCCAATTTCAACTTTTTCCCAAATGTTTCTTCACGCCAAAGGCAAATGATAACTAGTTACACACAAAAGATGCATAAAAAATATATAAAACATAAACAAAATATTTTCAACATATACACATCATATTCACACCAATGTATACATACCATTATCAAGAAAGTTTTCGTTGCGAGCATAAAGGTTGAGTTAGTATGAAGAAAATCCTCAACATAGATAATAATTTTAACTTTTAAAATATACTTCTTCTGCTTTTAAATATAAGTAATTTTTAACTACTTTTACCTTATTTAATAATATTTTTTTAATGTGTAATTTTTTAATTGTATTTTTTTTACATTTATAATATAAATAAATTAAGAAAAATATTACGAAATTAGTAAAATTTAATATAAATAACTAATTTTCTTAATATAAACAATTTTTTTTATAATAGAATGAGATGACAAAAACTTATTTTAGGCTATGGTTTGTGTGTAACCACTATGCTCAACTACCCATTTCCAACAGCAGAATCTCCAACACGCCATTCAGTTCCCATTATGATTGTTTACTTTCCATTTCTCTTTTGTAGTAACAAAGGAAACTTTATTTTCAACTCATAGTTCATAACTGACATAGGTACGTGGTAGTTTACAGTTTGCTTTACCTTGCAGTTTTTACACCCCTCCCCACTTTTCTTCTTTCTCAAATAAAAAAGAAAATTACAGTTTTAGACATTGCACTACATTTTTTTATTATATAAAAAGGTGGATTAAAATTTAACATAATTTTATAAAACAAGTTTGTAACATAAAATAAAATTACACCTAATTCTTATATGTTATTATAATTGTATTATTAGGCGATATAAAATTTAATTTTTTTAATGATATATTTGATAAATAATTTTTTTATACTTAATTATGGTATGGATAAGCTAGCATTAATTTATGATAGCCCCTTAGAAATGAAAGCAATTCTTGCATTCAAGTAGTACCTTATTACATGCTATGTATAGGTATGATATTCAAGCATGAAAAATCTTCTGCCATTCTTCTGCACCCTGGCAGATACGCTATTGGTCAGGATTGATCAGGAGATGATATTAGTTTAGAAATAAACAAGAAAATTATCATAGCATGCGATAAATGTAAGTTAACATACATATTTGCTTCCGTAATGGTTAAGAATCCCAAGTACATATATACATAAGCTCACTGCAATAACGAGCCAATGGGATAGGTTCTTAGCTTTTGACCCCGTTTAGCTTCAATCCCACTAATAGTTTTGCTTTATTTAATTACTTGTGGACAGCTATCTAAAAGCTTCCTAATTGTTACTTTGAAGCTTCAAGATAAGTAAACCTTTTATATATGTCAAAGTTTGAATGTAGAAAACATGAGCAAATCTAAAAGTTAAAACCGTATCAAGTAAACATTAACAAAGATATACGTAAATGATTAATCTAAAGTTGCCATTCCTTGACCATTCTATTCTACAATACAATTAAAACAAAGATATCTATCAGAAAATGAACTTTTACTTTACCTTTTTTTTTTTTTTTTTTTTTTTTTTTTTTTTTTTTTTTTTA